ACACCCCAGCACCCTCCCAGGAGTCTCCTCCCTCGAGGGACCCCCCTCAATTGTCCCCTCCCAGGAGTCCCTGCCTCTCCGACCCCGCTTCTTATCCCTGCCAGTGAGAGTGTAGCCCACTTTCAGTCCTCTGCACCAAAAGAAGCCACCATGCTTGCAGAAGGGTGAGGGCCCGGCATGCAGAGCAGGCCCCAAGTACCAAACATGCTCTCAGCCGTGTGATGTGTACAGTAGTAACAAGATCACTGCATAGCCACATGTGTGCACAGCTTACACTGAACACTGGTTCCAAGTGGTGGAAAAAATGGCACAGTACATCTTTTTACCGGAAACCAGCAAGGCTGAACAAAAACCGGCCAAGTGGCAAACCTAAGTCAGTGGCACTGTAAGGGGATTCAGGGCTTCACAGGAGGCAGCACCTGGAAGGGTTGAATTTCCAGTGTGTCAGGCTTTTGGAGGATCTTGAATGCTGACCAGCTCAGGAGGAGGTCATGTTGGTTTAGATGCCGATAGCATACAAGGCCCCTACACATTCTGTTTCTCCACTTAATTCTCTACTGTGCCATGAATTTCCATCCTAAAATTCTATCCCAGGCATTTGTGAATGGATGGTTTCTACCTTGCCCTGCACTCTCTCCTGAAAGTAATTTCTCTAATGCTGATACCAGCTGGTTGCTGGCAATGATGAATTGCTGTAATATCTCTTCAGGTAAACTAGTAAAATAACCAGTGTTAATTAAGAGAGATTAATTCAAATTACCAAATCAAGATTGGGTTTCCATCAGTGCTTTCCAAGAACTCCATGCACCCCACTTTCCTGCAGGATACTCAATGATAACACACAATCAGTGAAGCACAAGATCCAGAGAAAGTGATAACTGGCTCCGTGCAATTCAGAGTGATGTGTTTTTAAGGAGCTATTTGTACCTTTGCAGAGCAAGTAGAATCACTTTAAAGGTCATTGGGAGCTTTGCCATTTTACATCTCCTGAAGATGTGGCTCCTTGTTTCTGACAAAAGGACAGCTTTGTGAGAATCTCACAATCTCCTTTGTGAGACTAGACAGAGCTTTAAGCAGAGTATGCCAAACCTGCACTAATACTGTTGAAATTGGGGTTGTCAACCCTCCTGGATTGTCCTGGTATCTCCAGGAATTAAAATTAAGCTTTAATTAAAGATCGTGTCATGTGATAAAACCTCCAGGAATACGTCCAACCAAAACTGGCAACCCTAGAAACTTGAAATGTGTACCTTTAAAAACCAAACCTACCATGAAAATTAGCTTTTTAAACATGATTTCTTTAAGGGACTGGCTGGCAACCCAATAGTGCAGGCAATTATGGTAGGTCACCTAAATCCTGAGAGAAACACTATAGATAAAACAATAGAAAAAATCAAGAGCTGCTGTACAGCTCTGATCAGGCTCATGAAGGAAAAGGAAAGGATCTGAAGCGGCTGTCAGCAATTCAAGTATGATACCCTCCTTCACAGGACCAACACTGCCAGTGTAAAGCAGAGGAATTGGAATCCTGTGTGTTTAGATGTTTCTTTCCCAGACATTAGGGTTCAGAACCTAAGAAGTTCTCAGGGTAAATATAAGAAGGAACACTGTGAGCCACCTAACGGTGGTCCATAGAACTGCCCTATAGTCTTCCAATAACTGGTGCCCAAATAGGAGTGCTAATGGTTTTTGAAGGAAAGTTGACTTCTGTATTGATTATTTCTTTTAACAAGTAACATAGGTTCCAGAACCTTTGAGGGCCTGGGGCGGAGGATATGAGCAGTCATCTTAAAGGTTGACCAGTTCCCCATAATAAGACTACACTCCTCACACCAATATGATGCTGAATCTAAACAAAGCAAAGTAGTCATCTGGAACCCAAGACAGAAGAACTAAGATTGATTTTGTTAATGAAAAGTGGCTCATCAGGACACTTTTTACCAGTGACCCACTGAGACCAAATGGATCCTTCCCTGTAACGTGCACTTGAACACAGCTCCACAAAACACTATTATTAACGTAAACCCCAAGCCGTTTAGGGGTTTTGTCCACTTGAGAGACTGCCTTTCCACTGGGCAATATTCCCACAGGTGTGGCTGATGTAGTTTCACTGGAGCCCCAGTGGTTTTAAGAGTGAAGGAAATGCTAGCTAGGGCATTTTCCTTGATGAGTCCTCAGTTTTGGAACTTCCTCCCCACCTTAGTTCCAAAACAATCCTAATCTGTTGACCTTCAAAGCATGCTGTGAGGCCCATCTATTTACCAATACTTTTGTAGTGAGAGGCCTGATAAGAATTGGCATTTGTGAGTCCAGGAGCATTGGCTGGATATGATTTCATCTCTGGCTGGTATCGTCTGGTTGTGTGGTTAGAAGAAACTGTTTATCTGGTGGTAGTTTGTTGGTTGTTTTTTTAATTTGGGCTAAGGTGCTTGAGATAGATGCTTTTGAAATATTCTCTATACATCTAAATAAATATGTTGGGTTTATGACTAAAACCACTCTTTACAAAATCAGGCACGGAACAGAGTTGGTTGCAGATCTGAAGGGCCAATACATTCCAATAAATACTGATGTCTAGTACTTTCTTGAATACAAAGCTTCTCATCTGATCATTGTGCATGGAATCTAAAAAGTGAATGCTACAGGTCAAAACTTTGCAGTCTACAACCTTTGGGTGCTATGTCTAATTAATGGACCCATATCTATATATCCCTGACCTTGATTATCTCCTCTTTGATTATTCCTTTAGGTATCTATATAAAATTCCGATGACAGTAGACGATGAATTTTCCACAAATAACAATAGCTTACACATTACCTGAACTCCCTTAGACTCCTGCATAAGGGAATCCTTCTAGATTTGTGGATGCAATTATGTAAAGGTTAAACTAGAGTAGATAAAACATATGATTGATATTGATTTGCTGATCCATTTAATTCAGTGTAACCATTGACTCAGAGAGTAACAACTGAATGTACTAACTGTGGGCCTTATCCCACATCCACTGAAGACAATGAAAGCCTTTCCATTGACTTCAAAGTGAGTTGGGTCAGTTTCTACATTTGACCCTTTCTTCTGCTGAAGGGATGAAATAAACTTACAGAAAAGTAACACGTTTTTATGTTTACTGCTCTGTACCAAGTAATACGCCTGATATGTTCTGCAGATCATGTTTGAAACAAAACAAAGAATGGTAGTATTAATATGTATTTGTTGAAACTAGGCTGACCAGATAGCAAGTGTGAAAAATCGGGAGAGGTGGTGGGGGGGTAATAGGAGCCCATATAAGGAAACGCCCCAGATATCGGGACTGTCCCTATAAAATCGGGACATCTGGTCTCCCTAGTTGTAACAAATATAAATTGGTTCTTCATGGTACTAAAACCTGATCTTAAGCAAATGTTGGACGGGCAGACTGGCATTTTGTGCCAGTTCAGCCATTTTTAAGCAACCAATTAATTTTGATCAAGTTTTCTTGTTTTAGAACCAGAGCTGTGGAATGTCCTAATTCTTCTAAAATGTTGTTTGTATGACACCCTCAAAATGCTCTGACTGCAACACTGAGACTGACTGTGCAAATCCACATTTTTGTCTTACAGGACATGATCATCTTCATCTATGAGAGTGTGCTTTGGCTGTCATAGCCTAGAGGACAGCTTTATCATGTGCCCTGCAGCTTGTTGCTTACTCCTGCTTATTGTTCAACAACGATCTTTTTGAAGTGCCTCACTCAGTGAACCACTTGCTCCAGAATGACTTCACCAGCATGTCTGTGTGTTGTTGGGCCTGATGTATCGTCTGACGGCAATGCTCTCCCAACAGGAGTTTAGGACATATCTCCGTGAGTGCAAGTAACCCTAAAATAGGTCCATCTTTAACTAGAGTTTGAAAAGAACATATTCTATTGATTAGCTTCTTTTCTCTAAAATTAAAAAGAGGGTTGATTACTAAATCTGGGTTTGCAAAAGATTTGCCAAAATATTCTTTCAGGATTGACTTTGGCCCAGTAGCAACATGGGTAGCTCACTACCACCTTCCTTCTTGCTGGGAGCAAGAGCAAAATTAAAACTAATTTTGGGTCCTCTAACCCTGGCACTGCCAATTGATAGGATTGTTGACAAGATGAAACCTTAATCTCCTACAGGAGGGAGAAGTGAAAATTATGTCTCGTTTCTAAATACCCCTTGCACTGTTGGGTGGCTTCCAGCCAACATAATTTATATGTATTTTCAGGTATAGAACCACCAGGTAGCTGTGACTTCCATGTCTTGTATGGGAGACGGACAGGATTTAGTTGTAAAGAAATTAGCCTAGAATTAAAGCATATAAAACCCATAATCTCTCTTTTAGCTTAAAGCTCAGCAGGTGAAGTATGGGAAAGCCTATGGCCAGATGTCTACAGCTCCACCACCACCTCAACAAAGTAAGTCTCATGTCAAAACATAGAAAAACATTTGAGATGCCACAGTTCCAAAGATCCATCACCATTTCACTGGGGTGGGGGATGATATTAAAATGGTCTTTATGTATGTGGAGAGTATAAACAAAGAGGAGAAGGATTTTTATGATGGCACAAGGGGAATAAAACTAGGAATAACTGAATAAAATTAAGACAAGGAAAATTTAAGATGAGAATCAGCAAAGACTTCTAATTGTGGAATCTATTTATACTGTTGCACATACTTTCTAAGGAACGGATGGGAGCTGTTTTGCCAGGGACACTTAATACAGACTGAATAGACCAACAGAAAATACAGTGTAAGGAAAAATATCACCCTTTGAGGGGATGAGCTAGGAGATATTAATCTTTATTTAACCCTAAGGTTCTGTTACCAGTTCCTCGTTCAGTGTTTGTAAGGTGGTTGTAATGAATTGTTTTTGTAATATGAGAGCAGACTCTCACCACGTTCATTCCCTCACTCCCATGGGAGATTTTTCTATTTTTCTGATTTCCAAGACATCTTTTGACTGGGTCTCAAGAAATAAGCCAGAGAATGGCTAAACAAGCAGTCTGATTATATTTTTTCTTTGATCAAATAAATCATTTGGTGAATACTTTTAGCTACTGTACAACTAAACAGGACAGAATTGCTGAAAGAAAATACCAATAGCCTGAATGAGACAAACAACACTCTTCTAAATATAGACTTTACAGAACTGTTGACTTCTAAGTTCATAGGACTCATTTCCATTGCTTCTCAGTGGTTCTTTTTCATCTGCCATGTCACTGTCTTTCACTTGTACAAAATAGGCAGGAGAGGCTTTGCATTCACAATGGCTATCAAGAGACTTCAGGTGGATCAACATATGGAGAGCATAGGCCAGGACTAGAAGCAGAATCAGTGACATAATCAAGCCCATCAAAATTGCTGGTGAGAAAAAGGATGCACAATCTTTGGCATAAGCAAACTGTCCTCCTTCAATGTTAAAGCCTTGAATCTGTTAAGAGAGTAAAAGGATTTATATTAAAAATCCTCACTTTCCTGGTTAGGGGGTACTTCATGATTTTGTTCCTATTACTATGTAAGAATTTTTAAGCTAATGGTTGTATATAAAAAATTTTTATCTAGCAGCACTGGCTGGATTTGATTCATTCAATTTATTCATGTCAGTGTTTTAGAAACAGCCAGTTATTCTAATCCCCTTAGCTTTGGGGCCCAAATGATTTGCAGTTTGATTTTAAACAAAATCTTTTGAGAGCTAAGTCAAATTTAACTGTAAGCTTGATAACTCTGGTTTACATTGTTTGGTAGGAGTCTGATTATACAAACATGGACACAGGTATCCAAAAAATGACCAAGAAAACACTTGCCTACATCTAATGATTAGATAATGGGACCCGATTCAGTCCTTGTGTATGTGGATGCAACTCCACTGAAATAAGCAGTTTTGCATTCACATCTGATCTGAATTTGGCCCACAGACTATAAATTTCACCTGCAGACAAGTGAGAGTTACTTTAACTCTAGGGTGAAGTAAATCTGCTGTGCAGTCATGCATAGAGAAGACAGATGGGATTGGCTGCCTGTCTCAGATTGCTATGGGGTTTTAAAGACCTTCCCCTCTTTTGTAGCTACCCTCATCTTCCCCTTCTTACCCATCCTCTGTTTATTTATTTTGCTCCTCCCTAGCTGAAGGGTCCATTCCTGGGTGAGCTTATCCCCTAATTCTGATAAGGAAATGGGGTCAATGACTGTTGTAAAAAATCCTCCTTGAACTGACCTCAGAAACTGACCCAGGTGTGATCTATTCACAGAATGCTGAACTATGGAACACTTAACTTTCTTTCCCAGCTGATTGACAGTCAGCTGGAGCAGCAGGTCCTATGCAAGGACAGTTGGAGACTTGCTGACAGTGCTCAATGAAGGCTCTACTGAAGCTGGTCTTACGAGCCCAATTGCTAAATACACAAAGAACCATTTGTCAACAAAGGTACAGAGATGTAGAGCAGAAGGTGACACTCCTATGTGTTGTGCTGAAGTATATCCCTAAGAAGAAATTAGATACCAAACCAGTGCAGCCCTTCATCTCACTTAACATGAAGTTTAAATCTTTAAATCTTTAAATCTTCTTTTCTGTTCAATTTCTACTCCTTCATCCATCTCTGGAGTATGTCATTGTTTTCTTGGCACCAAAGCCTAGAGGTGCCAGTCAGCACACCTGTGACATTTTCTTGGCTTAACTTCATCTTATTACCTGGAAATCGATAAAAGTGACTTCCCAGAGCCTGGACACATCATTTGCGGAGCTGGGAATCAGGAGTGCATCATACCTCTGCAAGCTGCTCACATGTTCACAGTGATAGGAATAACTTGCTGGAGCATATATTCTGGTTGCATTAAATGTCGCTTGCACAGAATGGTTGTAAAGCAGCTGTATTCTGTATAAACTAAACCAGTTCTGAACAGACAGCTTGTAATAACTGCTTGTCAATAAAAATCTGAAAATAATTTTTTAAAACAAGAGAGAATTAGTAAAGTTGCAAAAGTGAGGACATATATTGTTGAATCCAGCATGTAGAAAAGCCTTACAGGACTCATTGAAGTCGACAGATCTATGCCAATTTACACTAGAGAAGGATCTGGCTCTTTCTGCCGCTATATGGGAGACCTGAGTCTGGAAAATAATTTTTGATTCCTTGTTGCTGCAGCTGAAGAAAATCATTGGTCATCAGGACTGGTCCCAGGCTGAGCAAGGGAGTCACAAAAATCCTGAGCATCTTCTGACTGCCTAATTATGGAACAGCACTAGGGGAATATCATCCATTCTGCTTCCCTCCCTGCTGTTACAGATCATATGCTGCCCAGATAGCTGACTGATGAGAGGCAAACTGACAAAGGAAAACAAAGTAAAAATAGATGGAAGAAATTCCACTGGTTAAAAAACTTAACTCAGCCAAGCAATGAGTAAATTAGAAAACATCATATTGCCACTAGCTTGCGCTCCCGTGTAAATATAGTTTTCCAAATCACATGTAGGTGAGCTCTGAAATAGGGGCCAGGCTCCAGGGAGGTAGCACCATGGATTAGTGGTTTGGAAGAGGAAATGGGAGCTGGGGAGAAGCCAGCTGGATGAAAAGCTCAAGCCCAGGTTGGGCACCAGTAAGTTAACGTGTTTGGTTTTGTTTGAGGGTATTTGAGTTCTGCTGTGTAAACTGGGGAGAAAACTGCTACTCTGAAAGAAGAATAGGATTGAAAAGGAGCCCAGGAGGGGCTGAAGACATTGTATGGATGAGTAGGATTTGCTGAACACTGTCTATTTTGGGGACACCGATACTCTGGAAGAGTTGAGGCTGTAGATGACCTGGCTGGAGGGCTGAGTCACAGAAGCAGTGGACCATCATCAGCAGGCCCAGCTAGATGAGGGGAGCCTGCAGTGCAGCAGTGAGGCCACTTATCTTAAAAAAAAAAAAAAAATAGGGGGAAAAATAAAACAAAAAGAAAATTTATTTAAATAGGCAAACTCCATAAAATATATTGTCTGCTTTATACTTCATTATATAATTAGCAAATCTGACTCACAACCCTTGCTGATACATAATCCTTCTCACAGTTAATTTCCCAGACAGCTTGTATTACAAGTCATTCAGTAGACATTAAGGTTTGATACTCTAATAAGTGTCTTTATCCTTATCTTGTAAACCTACCTAATAACAAGCCCCTTGAGGTTGTCCATGTCACCAAACTTAAGTGAAAGCCTAGATCAAAAAGAAAACAATGTCAAGTTGAAATGCAAATCTAAAGGGAAAAAACCAAACTGACATTCATCAAAAGATCAAAACATGGTTACAACAGACAGTATTTTGAGGGTTTATTCAAATCCCACTGCAGTCAATGAAAAAACTTCAGGAATGAAATCCTGGTCCCAGTGAAGTAAATGGGGATTTTGCTGTTGCCTTGAGTGGGGTCTGGATTTCACATTAGGAAAGCACTTAACCACATGCTTAACTTTAAGAGTGTAGTTAAATCCTATTGACTTCAACATCAGTGTACCTAGAGCATAGTCAGATGAGATATATGTGTTCCTTCCCAGATCTATATATTTTAGAAGGCATTTATCACCTTGGTATCTCAGATACAAGTATTTCATTAATACAATAATATAACCCATTCTTTGTCTCATAGACCCTGCTAGAGTATTACAAATCCATATGATGGCTGAGTTCAAAGTGTTGCATTTATACAACATCACTGAATCAGATTAAAGATGTTGACTGTAGCAGAGCTCTATCCAGCTTATTGTCCAGTCAGTGAGGACAGCTGTGGCTTACCACAGTAAGAAGCATTGTTAGGTCAAATTTAAAATAGAGCCTTAAAAGCCGTATGATTATGTAAATATTGCTCCAAGTACCATCTTTCTACTTTCTCACAAGCTAACAGATACAACATTTCATTACTCTGTGGCATACAGATTTTTTATTTAACGATGCCATTTTGCATCTTAGAAACCATTTGTGTAATTGACTTTCATTGTTGACATAACGTTGTGCTTTTCTTTATCTAAGATTAGATATTGTTACCAGGGCTGGCTCCAGGCACCAGCGTTCCATGCAGGTGACTGGGGCGGCAGTGTTTCCGCTGCGGTGGCAATTCGGCAGCGACAGGTTGGGTTTTTTTCCACTGCTTGGGGCGGCAAAAATGGTAGAGCCAGCCCTGATTGTTACACTGTGAATTACCATGCATACACATACATCACTTTAGAACTTAAGGTGGAGGGAAATTAAAAGCATGATTAGTCAGACAATTTAATACTGGCTCAAGACTGGATGGGTTTCAAGTGCAGAACTAATTTCTTCAAAGGTCACTTAACTCACTATCCCAAAATTGGGTCCAGTGAGCAAGGAGGAGGATTTCAGACCCTCACTTGCTTAAATTATAACAAAATCAGACATAAATTGTGCCAATCTGATTATACCACACAGTTGAACCTCACATTAAATTCAGTGCCTGGGACAGGACTCTGTGCATACAATAATCTACCTCTGTGTTTGTGTTACACATATAGTAAGTCCAAACACATAAGAGGCCAAATCCTTGGTTATAGGTCCAGATGCTTTGTGCTGATCTAAAGGCAGAGCAGAGGATTCCCTTAACAAAGTAGGGATGTAAGAGCCTTGCTAGAAGTGGGAGGGGATGAGGTGGAATACACAGAATTCTGCTTTATCTGCAGCCTGCAAAATTTAGAGCAGCCCTTAGGCCCAAAATCAGAGGAGCAGAAAGGGAGCTTCCACCCTTCCCCCTGCTCTCCTCAGCAGCAGCAAATGGAAACAATGCATCTCAGAATCTGGCCCAAGGTTTCTATTTGGCAATTCCTGTGAGGCTAATCCTGGATTCAGGAGCCTGATTATCTATTTTCCTATCTGCACAGCACAGATTTCCACACGCAGGGAATTCAGTTAATACTTAAAGGCTGACAGAAGCACACGGACCAAAAAGGCTTTCTGTTAATATATAGCAGGACTCTAGCAGAGATTCCAAGGATTTGGTCAGAAAGTTTACATAATGCTCTGACATACATCTCCTAATGCTGACTAGAATAAAGTGATATTTTTTTCTTGACTTAGACAATAGCCCACACTAACAGGATACACATCTTGTAAAATTTATCTCCTGGCCCTTTCCAGCAGGTTTTTCCATGGGAGCTGAGGCAGAAGGCTCTATATTCTAGTAGCCTATTGTTATTTTGTTTGTTGACCAGTAAATTTTCCCAAATATTTTTATTTTATAACAACAAATGACTTTAAACTGCCCTTACAGTCCAGGTTTGTTGTGAGAATACATACACTAACAACAGTGAAGCACCCAGGCACTAAGGCAAGAGGATCCATGTAACTACCTAAGATTGACAGAAAGTTACAGGATTTTGTTTTGCATTTATCTCCTTATTTACTGTAAAGTGAGACCAGCTATTTTGATTCCATTTGAAAATGCTGAATAGATGAATTATTTTAAATCACTGATTTTTTTCAAACTGTGCATTGCTTTTCAAACCATTTCACATTTGTGCAGTTTTCTACTGGGATACGGAATTTATTGAAATGGTCCATGTACATTAGGAGGTTGCTGGCTCTCCACTGGCAGACAGGCTTATTGTTTTGAAATGTATCACTTTTTTTATTTTGAAAACTAACATTATTTCTTCCTCATTTCTCTCTATTCCTTCCACAACACAGCTCATTCATGAGTCAGACTCCGATTATTTAGAACAGCAACTGGTTTTCAGCACAGTTATCCATCCTCTACTCGTAGCATAGATGGATTTTGCTGTGTTAATTTGGCACTTGTTGAAACGTTAATTATTTCAGCTACCATGGCCCAGTGGTGAGGGCACTCAGGAAATGTGGGTTCGATTCCTTGTTCTGCCATTGGCCTGCTGGGTGACTCCATGTCACCTCTCTGTGCCTCAGTTTTCCATTTGTAAAATGGGGACAATTTTTCTTACCTTCTTTGTAAAGTGCTTTGAGATCTACAGCTGGAAAGTGCTATATAGCAGCTAACTAGTAATATTACTGCTGTGTGGCATTATATAGCCACATACAGCTTTACTTGCCTTTGCTTATTAAAGGTGTGATTCGTCCACCCTTATGCTGAATAGCATCTTACGCAATGGTGCAATCCCGTAGATTTCAATAGGGCCATGTGTGGACTAAGGGACTACTCCATGTGAGTAAATGTCGCAGATTAAGGGTTGAATTATGGCCAGACCTTACATAATCACCCTCTACCACCCTTGCACAGCCAGTATAAAGGCTGCTGAGAATCACAGTCCCTGCACTCAGGGCAGCGCAGAGGCTGCTCTCCACCCTGGCTAGCCACTTTCCAAAAAGGGCATGGGGAGAGCACAGAGCATATGGGGTGAGGGCTCAACCCCCACAAGCAGAGCTGGCCGGCCACACAGGAAAAAGGATGCCAGCCACCCCGTTAAAGGATTAAAGAAAATTAGTCTTTTCCCGCAGTGTAACAGAGGGAATTCTTAGGAGGCATTGTGCCGCTGGAGCATTGTAGCTCCATTCCATATTACAATAGGCTGTGCCCCCAGAATTAACTAGCAACCCCGCCAGTGCCTGACGCCATCACGGAGTAGGATGTAGTCTTACATTGCACTGTCTTCACTGCAGTTGGAATCTCCAACATCCACGGTTGCATGAACGCCAAATGTCTTCTCTGTCAAGTCCAGCTTTGTGTGATTTTTAAATTTAATCATTATTCTCCTGGCCCAGAAAAGAATGCAGGGAATTCCATTAACGGTGACATTCACAGGGCTGTGCGGCAATGTCCTCCAAGAGTCTCTTTCGGATTGTCCTTTTCTGCTCAAGTTGTAACTGACCACCTAATAAACCACATAAAAGATTGTTATTGCAGGAATTACTCTCCACATCACATAATGAACAATAGCATTGGGATAGCACACAATGGGCTCATGCTCAGTGCTACTCAGCTGGGGAGACAAAGATGGTTCTACACACCATTTCCATCTCCTCCAGTCCTGGTGATGGCAGAGGTCCACACACATACACAAGCATAGCAAGAGAGCTGATGTAACTTACATTGACTGTAACGGCCTCCTAGAGACTGGACGTTCCCACCCCAGCCCCTCCTATCCATCTCCAACCCAGCACAGAACACCCCCTACATGAAGGCGTGTAGCAAAGCTGGCATAGCCAGTTGTACACCGAAAGGGGATTCCCCTACAACAGGAGACTTCCCATGGCAGTTAGGGCAGTTTTAAAGTCCCCTTTGTTCTGCTGGAGCATTGCAAAAGGGATTTAGCTTGGGCCAAGGATCAGGCTCTACATGCTGAAAGTACTGTACAGACATTAGCCAGTTTAGCAAGGGAAGCAAATGAGGCTGCATGTGTGTAATGGAGCAGAATCTGGCCCAATATTGTTTTTAAACAAATGCAAATTTTTAGATAGCATCTACATAGGACCCTGGTCAGAGTTAGGACTCCCTTGTAAAATTATTAGTTTATATGTTTAAAAATAGGGAGTGTTGCATTTTGTCTCAAAGTCAGGACATTGTCTACAGGTAGTATAAAGATACGGAACCCGCATGGTCAACTTCCACAGTCAAGCAAAGCTCCCATGGAAATGACTATAAACAAATAAAAATGTCAGTGAGTAAAGATTTCAGTATTTAGCTCTAACTCTTAGACAATGAGAATTTTTTCCAGTGTGCAGACCTGCCATATCTGAATATGATAATATAGCTGTAATCTCCATGGAGCTGCATCTGTGTAACTGAGAATGGAATTTACCCACTAGGTCTTGTTCATATGAGACAAGTATTCTGTGTCCCAATCACACATACCATTTTATCAGACTGGATAACTACAGTTAAGCAACAAAGTCTTGTCTTGGCTAGTAAATTTAGCATACCAACTCTCCTAGCTTAAGCCTAAAAGACTCCTGTGCTACTTGGTCTGACATATGGCACAACAAGACGGCCTGAGTGTTGTGATTTAAAACAAGAAGATGGTTGCAGAAGATGGGGAGAGAACTTACAAAACAATCACCAACAAATATCATTGATTACTATATTATTATGATAGTATCTTGAGGAAAAGATAAACCTGTCCACCTTCCCTGTTATAGTGCAGAACATTTACATTTACTCATTAGCTTGCTTAGATTAAATTGCAACATTTGCAGAATTCCTGAAATGTAAACCTTATTTTCTTAGTTGTGTATTGGGAAAAGTCCTATGGTCCTTACTCAGGCAAAAGGCCCATTGAATTTAATAAACCAACAGTTTTTCCCTCCGTTTGATATTCAGCACCAAGTCATACAGGCAAAATCCTGCATCCCATGCTCAGTGCCTCTACATAGGGGTCAATACACTGAACTCTCATTAACTTCCAGTGGATGTCGAGGTGACTCAGCACCTGCCAGGAACTAATCAGCAACTAGCAGGATCAAGTCATTATGAGGAATATCTGACTACAGTGTGGGAAATCAGTATTGTACCACAATAATTAGACAAGGTTGATTGTTATCTCATGAAAATAATAATTAAATTTCAACTAATTATGCCATGAAAGAACTTACAATCAGTTTCCTGATACTCCATACCTGTGTAATTGCTACTTGTTTTTAAGTTATGTTTTGGCTTCACACCACCCTCATAACGTCGGTCTGCAGAAGAAAGAGAGTTATGAGTATAAATGGTAAACGAGTGATACGTTAAGAATGCACGATGCTCCATGTTTTCTTCCAAACAAAGATGGACTTTCAGCCAATGCACCTTTTCGAGGGCTCTATAGATTTATGAAATATATTTCAGTTTGGGGCAAAAAAATACTCATACACTGAGCTCATCTTTGCCCATCACAAATCAATTTTCTAGCAAATTTACCATTGCTGTACATCTTTTTTTTTTTTTTTTTCCCTCTTAGAGACATCTGGCAGCCCTTATTCAGGTAAAATGCCAATGGAAAAGAACTTTAGGGTTTAACCCGTGGTGCTATAAATTCATCCACCTTACATCCATTTAAAAGGGGTTCCTTGTTTCTTCATGCTTTGGACCACATTTTCAAAGGAAGGTGCACTCAAGGAACATGCATGAGCCTGCATGCACAAATGGGGATTTTCAAGCCTGTGTTGGATAAAGATACACATGAACTGTAGACGAGTGAGCAATTACTTGACAGATTTGCACAAATGCAAGGTTTTGTGGGGACAACACAATGATGTTAGTTTGTGTGTACACTCTCATTGTAGCATCCTTTGAATATTTGGCCTGTATGTTTTCAATTGATGCCAAAATGTAATATTTTATTTCGTTTTTATCAAGTTCACACCCATTGCTCTGGGGAAATCCATACATTTTTTATTTTAACAGGGCTAATTGTTTAACTGGGAATATTTAAGGAGGATTTTACTGTGAAGTGTGCATAATACTCTTATTCCTTGCCAGAGCTCTCAATGACTTCAATGGAAATTGCATGTGGGATTCAAGGGCATACTATGCAGCTCACAGAGACAATATCAGTGCATGCCAATTCATTTAAAAGCCTTACCATTTCTTTGGGGCAGCTCTTGGTCTGAAAATGCATGTGAACTGAAACAGAGGAGACAGAGAAAAATCTTTAGTGTACAATATCTGTATTTAACATTTGAACCAAGTTTCCTGAGGAGAGTTCCACTTTGTAATGTTTCATTCAACAGTTGTGCACTCACATGCAAAACAGCCAAAAGCCAGCATACCCAGGAACGACAGTCATCCCAATATCGGAGGCTCTTTTGATGTAGCGTGAGCTCCTAAACCATCCCATCCCTACTGACAGAACGGAAGCTGTGGCCAAGGAAAGGTTAGGGTTTCCCCCCCCACCTCAATCCTCCCCAATGACCCTAGCTTTCTGTATCAGCCCACTGGGGATACTGTCAGCTATTTTAATTTAGACCAATCTTCAGATTCCTCCAAATTACAGTGGGGGACTGACTGGTTCACAGCCAGCCCAAGATCAAGGGGGAACAAAGCCAGCACTGTGCATTCCTCAGCATCAGCACATTTAGGAAAATATACAAACCCTAAAATACTTTTTCCTACTTCAGGAAAGAGCAAACATAATCCCCCAGATATACGGCTATACAAAGGAACAATCCTTCATGGTGCCAAACATCCTCCCACTGAAGTCAATAGGCAAGGTTCTTGTTAATAAAGCTCAAGAAAACATTGAGTGAATGCCTGCCTAAAACTATCGTCAGTCTCCTGAAATTTACAACCTGTCATTAGTCTCCTAAAACATTTAGGCCCAGACACTGAGTGGGTTTGATTGGTACAGCTTTATTGCGGTCAGTGAATCTGTGTCAATTTATACCAGCTGATGATTTGGCCTGTAGGATCAAATCTTTTATAGTGGTCAAAGTCCAAGCAAACAGGCTTTGTGCAGGTTTGCTTCATAGCGTATGGAGTGGAATCATCCCTCCCAATCCCATGGACACAAGTGTAGACACTCCTACACTCTCAGTCCTCTGGTAGCCTCCTCAGCAATTGTGCCTCCCTGTGGTGGATTGATTGGTCGATCTGCTTAGATGCTGATCCACTGGCTATGTGCCCATTTCTCCTGAGGCCCACTGCAAAAATATTCCTTTGTGGGTGGAACCAAATGGTGTACAGTTCCACTGCATGCAAGGGGTGATGATCCCCTTGCACTGACTCTCCACAGCCTGTCCTTCTAGTTTCCTGTGACGTGAAACCACCTCAGTTCACTCCACATGTGACTGGGGAGGGGCAGAGCAAAGGAGTTTCTCCTTAGCCACTTCATCTGAGAGCATGTGTCCATGGGTTTTTTTTTTCCTTGTGTTTATTAGATTTAAATCCACCATGCAAGCAAGTTACAAATAAGACATTTCTAAAGGCTAGTTTCTTGAATGTATTAAAATAAGCATGGCAGGCCAGTGTCTTAGCTGCATGATGGCTGGCCATTTGGTGGATCCAGCCCTCTGAGGATTCCTCCTGTGTAAGGGGGGGATCTCTGGGCATAGCAACTGTAGATCATGCCTTACCCCCATTCAGAGCAGGGGTGTTCCCAAGGAAAAGGAGGCATGTCTAGGGTATCCCTATGCCCTGGCGTTCCCTGGCTGCCAGAACAATCACTTGGGGCTAATGGCAGCAAGGCCTAAACTAAAACAAACAATATATTCTAACTTACGCTGAGGGCTACCTCCAGGTCTGGAGGAGCATAAAGGTGTCTTTAAGCCACCTTTGCAACACCTCCCCTCCTGCTCTTGTGCCAAGCCCAGCTCAGGCAGATCAGAGAATCCAGCTACATTCAGTGGTAAAACTTCTAGGGTGCCTAACTATTCACCTCAGTGGAGCCAGAATTTCATCCTTAATGTTTATTAAGGAGGCTTTGTCTTTATACCTGTTCCTCCCCAATAAGTGTGTGTATTTTCAGGCATACTCAGTGTAACATGGAATAGAACCATTGTGTTCAGTTCCAAAATCCTCAAACCCGAAGGGAAAACTGAACAAACTAGAGTGGATTCTGTATTCCAGCTTGTCACTTTGACCCTAACTACAAGGACTGGTGAACAGCTTTGCTCCAACCACTGTGCCAACTGCGCTCTGCTGCAATAGGAGGAAGCAAGAAAACAACAGCCATTCTTCTCAGAAACTGTAATAAACCAAGTACAAAAGCCAGCTAAGCTTCCGCTCCAAGCCTGTGACTCTAATTAGGGCTGGAAGAACCTACTTAAAATCCACCCTAGATAGTTTTAATTAGATACAATGACCCAAATTCTGCTCTTAGTCACACATGTCCAATCCCACTGACTTCAGTAGGGTTGCACACTTTCAAGAAAGAGCACAATTTGGCCCACTATTCTTCACTTGCTATTCTATACTCTAGGTTAATGTTGTTGAGCAGTATTAAACAATGTCCATGTTTCACACCAGAGGTGAGCATATTTCAGTAGTTAGTGAAATTATTCTTGTCTCCTAATTAACCAAAGGTTGGTCAGATCCCTTGAAAGTAATGGGCACCAAGCATGACCCCACTCTGCCCCCTCTTTTGGCATCTTGGTCCACACAGAGGAGCAGGAACAAGCATCTTGCTGTACTCTCCAGAGTGCAGAGACTGCTATTGTGGGAGACTCTTGCAGAGCTACACAAGGATAGGGGAAATTTCTTACATTGGCCTACACAAAGGCTGGTGATGGTCTGGCCCTGCTGCATTTATCAGTCCCACACACCAGGCTCCAACTTTTCTAAAAGTTCGGTTTAATGAAAGAAAATAGCCCTAAATCTCACACATTGTTGGTTTGTCATGAGAAGAGACTGGGGTGGGCCAAATCCTAGATTGTTTCCTCTCTTTTTAGTTAGTGGTTACTAAGGTAAAACTACCACTCAAGTCAATAAAGGAGCAGAACATGGACTTGAGGATTTGACATATTTTTCTTTTCTAGTATTTTAACATTGTATCCTGTGGCAAGCAACAGCAATGCAAGAGTTATTGACATTTTTCATGGTAATGTCTATAAAAACAAGGGGAGAGGAGAAAGCCCCAAAATAGGCATGCCAAAAACTTAAAGGCAAATGACTTACCATACAGTTATTTTACTGAATATAATATTTAAAGTTCTAGGCCCAGTATTTCCACTCAGACTAAATGTTCATGTTAGAACACTTTGATGCAAGGTTGCAAAATTCAATTAATTCCCTCACATAGTGGGAGCGGGCTTTTTATGGGCTAGTAAAATATCATCTGCCTCTCCACCACCCGGAAGTCTCCCATCCCAAATGTGGCTAAAATGAAGACTGTGTCAAGTAAAAAATGAATACGTCTCTGAGGAAGACTAACAATATGCAACACCAACCCCCATGTCAGAAAACAGGCAGGATAAGGGACATACTCACATGTGGAGCCATGCATATGTTATGTCCCTAACAGAACGGTCTGAAATTGGACTCCTCAAGGCCCATGATTTCAGGTTGGAAGCTTGTGACAAGTACAATTTAACGCCCATATGTCTCATGCAAAAATGTACCAAAGCTGCTCATGCAGACATGTCAAGATTCTTCTCTCAGCAGAAAGACACTCAAAAATAGATGAATGTGCACAGCTAATGGAACAGTTGTACCCCAGCGAGGAATTCATTGGCAAGAGTGATGTGTGAGACACTGCTGAATACCATACTATGACAAATACCATCAGCCACATGACCATTTCCATTTGGGAGGTAGGTAGCAACATGGCAGGCATGTCAGTGAAGTGACCTTCAGTATATATTAAGGTGTGTGCATCTTGGCATTTATAGAGTGCCAGTCACCATAGCAACTAGGAGTCTGAGATTTCTTCATTATCTATTACTTCTCTCATTACTGCTTACATGCAGGCAAGTGCTATGTAAATTTCTCTCTTTTTCTGAGAAACATACTTGAGAAGATAGTAGTTATGGCAATACCTGCACTCTTCAGTTTCCCTTGACCCTGGTCAGTCTGGTTTTAGGCCTGTGTATGGGACAGAAAGTGCACCGGTGACATTGGTTGATGATCTCCTCCCAGCATGTTTATGCTGATTTTATTAGATCGGTCAGCTGCTTTTGATGCAGTTGATCATGAAGTATCATTGGCATGTGTGAGGTCCCTGCCAGGAGGGGATGGAACCACTTGGATGTGGCATTGCTGCTTCTTATACAGAAGGACCTAGAGGGTAAGTATAGGCAATTATTCCTCCACACCAAGGACTCTCTTGTACAGGACACCACAGGATTCTGCTCTGCTTAGTGTATATGATGAGGCTTCTGGGAGAATTAGTAAATAGACATGGTCTGTGGTGTTTGCAATACATTGATGATACCCAACTGGGTATCTCCATTATATCACATCCACTAGAACAGAACAACCCTGTGTCTGCAGCAGATTGGGACTTGAATACAGGCTAGCTGGTGTGAGACTCAATCTGGACAAGGCTGACGTTCATAGGCTGGAGAGATTATTCAGGTAGAGTTCAAAGTGCTGGTTTTGCCCAACTAAGTCCTGAATGGTTTGGGCCTGAGTTACCTCAGATCGCTCCTCATGCTACACTACTGTGATCAATGGAGGAGGCAGAGTTGAAGCCACCTCAGTGTAAAAGAAAGGGAGCTGCTGGCAGGGCATCCCCGTGGTTTCTGAGAGCCCAGTTTGTTATCCTTCCAAAGCTCATCTTTTTCCATAGACATCTGAGGAGGGAGCAGGGAGGATGCAGGTTGGGAGGGGATGTTGAATGGTTTATAGCAAGATTAAGTTTATGGCAGGATTTGCTCTGACTGTAAATGTAAGGGGATATAAGCAATTCTACTGGTTATTGTAAATAAATATTTTGTAAAGGCACTCACAGCTTGGAATGTGCACTATCTGAATGCTGTCTCTGAGTCGGGCAGGTGTGGCTCTCCAAAACCCTACCACCATCAGATCGGCAGCATTCAAATTCAAAGGACAAGTTGGGGAACTCAAAGGAGATCTGCTGGAGCAAGGCTATCCTCATAATATTGATGGGTAGATCTCAATGTGTGGAAGATTTTGGCCATGATGGACCATTTGGAGCACATTTCATGGCTCTTCTGCTGCTTTTTAAACTTGCTGCCAAACTGTAGGTCAGAAATATCACGGGGAAAACGGTGTGCAAACACAAATGAAAATGCCTTTAATCATTCTCAGGGCTCACACTAGACTTGTGCATAACAACATTCTGAGTAATAACATTGTGAATGTAAATATGACAGACAGCAACTAGCTGAGACTATTGCTGCTGGAGCTCTACTAGTGGCTGAAAGGATCACGAGCTAGAAATTAAACTATAAGAAACTCCACAAAGAGTGAATAGACCTGCAACACATTTGGAGCAATTTTTAAAAGTATAATGAAATAACCCCTGAATTTATGGTCACTTTTCCACCTATTTTAAACTAAATACTTCAACTTAAGTATAAAATATAGTTCATGTGTTAAAAACATTGGCCCTTCTTTAGAATTGCAAATCTGAAAATAACTGCTCCATGTCCACAGTATATGTCTGTATTGTATGCTGAAATTACCATTCTAAGTTTGTCAGGAGCCCAACTGAAATTGGCTTAGCCCTAATACAAAGCATTGGAATGACTAATCACTATGTAATACCCAACTAAATAAGATTATATGAATAAAGAAGTGCAAATTCCTACTTATCAGACGACATTATCAGTCTATAAGGTAATGAAGTCTTTTTTCCATCTGAAAAAGCTCATGTAAAAGTTTCGGGCCTACTACTGAAAACCTTTATGTGAGTGGCCCTTATTCACATATGTAAGCCTATTGATTGCAAAAAGAATTAGGAATGATCAAGTGAGGAAGAGTTTGCCATGTGTAGTTTTCATTTCAGCAGATAAGGCAGTTTAAGGGAACTATATTATTAAAACAAAATACAATCTATAGTATTACTACCAAATACTATCACTTGGAAGTGCAGATTATATTGGATAACACAATGTTCAAAATAAAATACACTCCTGTAGTATCTTCATTATTCCTTAAAAACATATCAAAAAGCAGTGCAGCCGACTAATGTTATCCAACTTCAAACTGTCTCACTATTGCTGACCTAGCGCACTAGTTTCAATTATTTACACAATATTTTACTAGAAAATAACATTTCAGCCACAGGTAAATCAAACGTAAAAGAAAAAAGTTTGCTAGTGGACCATACAGCCACGGGCCAGATTCTAATCTTAGGGTACAAACACACCACAAGTTAAGATGTGATTGTAGAGTGGTAGACATACCTTTCCTAACTTTAATCCAGCTTGCATGGGTAAAAATAGTAGTGAAGATGGACTTCAACCCAGGCTAGCAACCCAAGTATGTATCAAGGGTCCCTGGCCTACTCATGCCGCAATCACACCTTTGTTTGCAGTGTAGACGTACCTTAGTTACACCAACCACAAGTAACTTGACTGAAGTTAATTAACTTTCACTGGTTGCACACCAGTGTAAGTGAGATCAGAATCAGGCCCAAAATGTAGGTTTCTTTAATGGAACCCTTCTACTGAAAAATATTTTATTAGAGGGTTTTTTTTATTTATCATTAACAAACAAATCCCTACAAAGATAGTTAGTTTTACAGAGGGAAGCAATCATGCCTTTCAAATTATACTGTATTATTTTTGTAGTAATTTCACAGGAGGAAACATACCTTTCAGAGATCCACATTTAAATAATTATTTTCTATTTTATTGAAATTTCACAATTAAGGACTTGGTTCTGCAGTTCCAACTCAGGCAAAACTCCCACTGACTTTAATGGTTTACGCCTGAATAAGGACTCTAGGACCAGAACCTAAGAAGTGACAAAAATGTAGAGCTTTGTTTTTTTAAAAAAAAAGAAACTGAGTTCAGTATTACTTTTGGTGACTTAACACACGAAGGGTATAATTCTGCTTTAGTCAAAGAAAAAACTTACATTAACTTCAGTGGAAACAGGACTGGGCCTTAATTCATTAATTTTTCTTATAAAATTTGTGTGAAAACTCAATTAGTTCCATTCTGTTAGAACATCTTACAGATCAAAGAAAAGTGAAACTGTTAGGGAGGCACTAACTAATTTGGAAATTGCCAGATGAGAACAGAAAATAAACTATTTCAATGAAAACATATTGTAGTATTTATAATTGACTCACAGATCTCTTAATACAAGCTTAAGCAAATCACCACATGCTCTGTTGCCCAAAATATTCAGACTTTATTACCAGCTGTGATCATCAGCATATTTGATCTGAATGTTATTAGTGACAGTGAGACATTATGCAAATAATTAAATTTGGCTATTTTCACTTTTATAATGCTTGGCTTTAGAAAGGACTCTCTCTTTCTTGTCATTTTCTGTGCCCTCTATTTATACTATATAAAAAAAATAGAATGCACTCAAAGACAATGGCAAATACAAATACTTAGGATTAGGAACAATTTTGTCAGTTTAATATTTCTTGAAATGTTGAACCTAGATTTCAATAATATTCACTTTACCCCATAATGGAATATTTTAGCACCCTTGTTTCTTGGCACCTCTGCTGCTATTTTATTTATAATTCTGTTTTAACAACTGGTTTGGAATGAAAAAGTGAGAAAAGCATTACAATGTAACCAAGTATAAGAGAGAGATCACTAGGGCATATGCCCTTTTAGACCATTTTAGGCGTATGTATAAAATAATTTGAAAGAGGTAACATTTCATATCTTAGAGTTGAAAAGGTTCATTTCTGCATGAGTTCTAGATGTTTTAAAACTAAAAATATTCTAATCCTGTGCTACCATACTGAACTGTGATCAAATCTAGCTGCATAAGACACAAAGTAAAATTACAAAACTACAACATTTAAAACATACATTCAGCTTCACCAAAGTAGTTTGTTGAAATGTATCAAATTACTGACCTTCCATCCAGTCTTACAAACATTTGGTCCACAGAGACTGAAAATCCTCCACATAAAAAGAGGAGTAAAAAGCTAAAAGTGATGTTTTTTTCCATGGAGAAAGGAATCTACCTCTCCTGACCAAGCACATCTGTTCTAGCAAAGAGATCAGAGCCTGTATTCTCAGATATCATGTGATGGATAGCACCTCCAGCCAATAGGAAGCAACATTTCCTACTGCATCAGTTGGCATGTACTATGTAAACATAAAAAGCCTTTTCTAAGCTACTCTCCCTGACATACTCTATTATTCATGTTAATGAATGATTAGAAAAGAACTGAGTGCTTGGGTCCTAATGAGCTAGGAAGTGAGCTGTCTTTTAAGAAAATAAATAATATTTAAAAAAAAAAAAAAAAAACCTCAAAGCTCAACAGAGCCAGTCACAGGTTACTCATTGTTCTAGTTGACCGTCTCCCTTGAAAATGCCATGAAAACTGTGATTTCAAATAACAATGTGACTTTACTGTCTGTAATCACACTCAGCTGAGAAGGTCACATTTTAATTAATTAAGCCTCATAACACCCCTGAGAAACAGTTAAATATCCCAAATTTACGGATGTGGAAAGTAAGATAAAGAGAGGATAAAGACCTCTTTTTGGGGGAAATGGCATCAATTTGTGGGTGCTCTACTTTCTATTTTACTAAGTTTTATAATCATAATTAATTTTAAAATTTACAGAATTGTCAATTGATATTTAGATGCATTTTGGAGGTTGCCAATTTGAGATGCCTAAGTTCCTTTGGATCCTTGGGAATTTGCCAGGGTTGATAGCAGGACCTGCGGCCTTATCCACGGGGATTCAAACCTTGCCATCTTTTGGAATGATGTGGGGGATGATCTGGTGCAAGCAAAGCAAGTGGTCAATTGGCAACCCACTCTTTTACACACTCTGCGTCCTATGCAACGTCTGCAAAGCAAGGGATAACCCTGTCTCCCTCTACAGTTGCAGGACCAGACAGAGAGGCAACTCAGTAGTCCCTCTCTCAACCTCTTTTACAGGAATTTACGAGTCCCACTTTTGTCTAGCACCCCTCAAATCATAAGACTGATCCCAATTCTTTATCACTTTCATATTTTTTCCAGTTCTTATTCTCCACAACTGTTGCTCTCTCTCATTCCATGTTGTTTCTTCCTCTTTGCTCCCCTTCTTCTCTGCTCTCCTCTCTATTCAATATTCTCTCTCCATTCCCCCATTTCTTCATCTCTGACCCTGGAGCCCCCACCTTTCTCTGTTCTTCTCTCCCCATCCCACCTCCTTGGGACACTCTCTCCTTTCCCCCAGAAATCTTTGCCTTCTTTTCCAGCTTTGAGTTGACCCCCCCCCCCCACAATCCCTCTCAGCAAAGTGCCTCCACTCTCTTCTCCTCACAGGGCTTCTCCTTTCCCTCCTCAGAGTTTCTTCCTTTTCATCCCAAAGAGGCTATCACTGTTGCTGATGACTGAGGGAAGTCCAGGCTCCCCCTTGCTCAATCCCCCATGCCTCTCTCTTCTCCTACTTAGGGAGCTGATGCCCCTGGGAGGAGGTTAGGTTCCCCCTTCCTCTATCCTTCATGTTCCAGACAGAAACTGCAATCCATCCCTGGGCACAGAGCAAAAGGTAGAGACTCTTTGTAGCCCTCCCCACTTACACACTCACACTGGGGGCCAATCACAAGCCACCTCAGATGAGGCCCAATCTGCTGAATATATATACTATCCCATATTACTTGGCGGCTAATATCGGATATCTGCTGATGTGATCACAGAAGTAAGTCCTACTTGACTGATTAAGGGCTCCAGTCTGATGCATTCTAGATATAAGATTATGCCGGGGGCTTTAGCATCTGCAACCATTAAGCTCAAGGATTTACCGTCTTTAATTATTTTTTCCTAGAGTGATACAAAGAATGTACACTAATCTTAAAATCTCCCACCAGCTTGTGTTCAGTACAGCTACTACTACCAATTAGGGGAACCCCAGATACTTCTTTTGTGAGAATCCCAGCATGGAAAAAAAAAAAAAAAAAGAGAGAGAGAAGGAAGTGCAGATATAAATTAATATGCAAGGCCTGGCTGAAAACAATATATGTTTTCTTTGAAGCACACAGATGTTTGTGGCCCCAAATATAAAAGAAACATTGCAGCAAAGAAATGCAGGGCCAGATTTTGGTTTTAAATTATACTGAGGGAACAAGGAGGGGCCACATATGTATTAAAAATTAATAAGAACAGCCGTTAAAGTTATAGACCTGTCAAACTTTCTAGGACCCATAATCCCTATCTCCTGCCTTCTTTACAAAACTATTTCAAGCAAAAAATAAGACACTGCTAGGTTTCACCCTTGTACCTTTCAGAGATTTCACACACGGACTGCTATTTTCTAACTGCTCTGCAGCATATGGCTTGGGAGGGGGAGCTGTGAAAGAAAAATGCTAAACTGAAAACCAGTATGATATAAATCACTAGATTGGGTATCCTATTACAGCAGTTTGTTCTTTTGTATAAAGACAAGACTTTGGAGAAGCATTTGGTGGGAGAATGATGTTCCTAAACAACAGTAGATAAGCCAGGGCTAAGTCAGTACTCACTGAACCAATAACTTATCTTCTAGCCCTTTTAGTTTCCAAAATGTGAGATTTCCCCCCACCCCACCCCCCCGCCAAAAATTGCATTTCTAGTCCTTATATTTCCTGAGTCATATGCTGCCAACATTTTAGCTGGACTGCCACAGAAAATGGCCTTCTTAGCATATGATGAACCCTGTGTTACAAGGGTGCATGTGATTGTAGAGAGAGGGCTGCGTATTCATTTGCTTGATAAAAATACTTTGGCATAACCACAACCAAGAAGAAAGGCAATTCCACCTCATTTATATTAAGCTTCACTTTGTTCCTGAAAAGTATACAGTACTGACTTTTACACTGGCTATACATTTAAGACATACGATGATGATACCTACCTTTAACACTGTGCTGTACTAATCTGAAGTACGGGTCGTGATTAATACCTTCCAGAGCAAATACTGGGCATTTCCTCCTCCTCTGGGAAATTTTTTGATAATATCTGGCATTCAATGCAAATTGCACAATCCACACAAAGAAAAAAGTGCTCTTAGAAGTATTTTTATGAGCTTCAGTAATAAGTAATTTCCGGAAGGGCTGAATGAACAATACCAGAGAGGGCTGAACTCCACTGGAAACACACCATCCCTGACACATGTTTGTCCAGCCTGTTCTTAAAAACCTTCAATGATGGGGATTCCGCAACCCTCTTGGGTAGCCTGTTCCAGAGCTTAACTACCCTTATAGTTAGAAAATTTTCCCTAATATCTAACCTAAATCTCCTTTGCTGCAGATTAAGCCCATTATTTCTTGTCCTGCCTTCAGTGGACATGAGAACTATTAATCACCTTCCTCATTATAACAGCCCTTAACATATTCTCCCTATTCATATCAGTCTATTACTGACAAGGCTGCAGACTTTAGAAGTGATTATTTATTACCTGACACACAGCTCAGATGGCACACCAGGGAATAGGTTGCTGGGAGCCAAACAGTTTATAAAACAGGATGCTACAACCAAAGTCAATGACAGACTACTGTAAAAAGGTGCATGCTCTTAATTTATTTATATTCCATTAATAAGTATTGGGCCAAGGAGGTCTGGTTTTGCTACACATAATGAACCGGCTCCAGAAATGCTACATAAGAGCATGTAAGAACCTGGTCCGAATGTACAGTAGCAAAAATTAATACAAATTCTAGGAAAAGGCTCCTTTTGACCAACCATTCTACGCACATGCTGCCTAACTCTCACTCCCACCATAAACTGGGATTCTGTGTCAATTCATTGCTCCACAAATCAGCTTCATTCCCTCAGCAGCTTGTTTCCCACACACTTACACCCCGTGCAGGGCAGGCAGTGTGGCCCTGAGCACTGGGCAGGCAGTGCAGCCCCCAGCACCACCAGCCCTGGAGCCACCTGGAGTCCCTGGCCATAGGCTGGCTCCCGCTAGCCCCAGCTCGGCCACAGGGGACGAGTGCCATTGGGAATCAGGAGAGTCCCTGGGGGTGGAGCATGGGCGGGGCCATTTGGGCTGTTTGGAGAGGCTCAGCCACCCATGGACCTCCCTCTGCCAGCACCCTCTCTAACATGCACATATAGCACAGCCCACCCTTAGTATTCGCCACACAGACTGGTTCTGTTCCTTGCTAACAGGCCTCCACAGGATGGGGACTCTCAGGCTTGCAGAAATTGAAGGAGCTGATTTCTGAATCAGAAATAAACCAAAGGCAACCTATGTTTCACACTGGGACCACAACTGAAAACGCAGGCACCCAAATTTGCACCCCACTGCTCCCTAAAACACACAAAAGTGGAGGTAATCCAGATCTGTGGTTCTATTTCCCATCCACCAGTACTTTGAAAAGGAGAAGCATCCCACATCATGGGCACGAGCTAGCACCAGAGAAGAGAAATGGCCCATTATTACCAAGTGTGAAACCTTGGGCTTGTCTACAGCCCAAGTCCAATCCCTAAAAAGAAGCAAATGAAATATAAACCCATCCTTTCAACGGCAACTCAACAAAAATCTAATGTGGGAGACAAGGATCCAGAGATGGCAAGCCAACGAGAACTCCTCTCGTCTTATGAAGAGCATGGTGAGGAGGCTGACGAAAAGATTGCTCTAAGTGGAATGATTACATGTATAAATGGCTAGTTAGGTTCCTTGGCCTCCTTTTGAAAAAAAACTGATCCCCAGAGTGAAGTTTAAAAGAAAACAATCCAGCAATGTTAATTAGCGTCATCCACTGAGAATAGACAAACATGGGACATTAACTTGATGAATGTGTCTAGATGCAGAGCATATAAGAATTCATTGACCAGTTTAAAGAAGCAAAGAGAGGAGAAGCTGAATGAATAAATTATGCAGGGCAAAATTAATTCCCTCAGCTATAACAGATGGAGATGGCTTGGGCTGTTTTTCTTTAACCATCCTTCATAGGCTCAGTATCGCTAACTTTTGTGATGTTATTGTAAGTCTTATAATATCGGTGTTTTTCTGGTAGACTCAACTCCTGGACCCGTGAGTGTCAGGGTTCCCTCTCCATTCTGAACTCTAGGGTACAGATGTGGGGACCCACATGAAAGACCCCCTAA